AAGTGTGTGTGTGTGTGTGTGTGTGTGTGTGTGTGTGTGTGTGTGTGTGTGTGTGTGTGTATATATACACACACACATACACATACATACACTAAATTCACTTTCAAAAACTGGTAGTGGTACACTTGATTGAACGTAAAAAAATTTTTAAAAAGCAGTGGAGATACAAAAAAGCTAAAAGGATTTGATTAAAACAAACAAAATGTGCCAGAAATTAATCATGTTTCAACCATGTGTTTAGGGTTAGTCAGGGATACATTGTAACCCCTGCGAGCTATTCGGCTCACCACAAGGGGGCGTTTGATCAATGTACAAGGGATACAATGCATCTTTACTGATACCTTCAGTGTTACACAGTGATTGTACCTTAACTGAAAGGGAATTCCACATGCAACATTTTATAACCCAGCTGACTGAAATTAAAAAGTTCAACTTTAAGGAAACAAGACAAACAAACCCCAACCCTCAGTACATATATAACCAAACACATCTATACCATCTTCACGAATAACCACATTTCAGTATGTCGTGGATAAGAGTCATGTAGTTTACATTTACACCCCCATTACACACAACTTCATTTCCATCCCCCATCCACATCTCCATATGCGACCAAAAGAAACTGTGGGGGATTTATTGCTTTGTGGTCAAGCTTGTTCGAGACTCACATTTCATGCCGACCTGTTGAGCACCTTTGTTTAATAATGGTCAGTGATACCAGTACGCCACATCAAATATTAACACACAAGCATAGTCTGGAATATAAGTGTACATTTATCAGCCAGTGATCCAACTGATCGACGCAAAAACACATTTAACGAAATAATAATAATAATAATAATAAATACGTTCAATGGGTCAATCTTTCCCCTCTCACCTTAAAAATAACTTTATTATAGTTTTGAATTAACGTAAAACGTAACACTAAATACGTGAGGAAACTCGACAAACGTAAAAAAGCCGATAAACATCAGACTTCATCAATCGTAAAAATGTAAACAGATTAGCTAAACGCTTAACCAACAAACAAAACAAAAATAAAGCAAACGACCGTGTTTCTTCAACTCAGTTGGTGAAATTGTCGCGATAAACGGTCACCGAAGTTTCAGCGCATTTGTAACGAATTTGATGTATAAAACAACTTTTTGGTTGATTTAGCGATTTATAAAACCACATTACCTGGACATCAAGGGTCGTGAACCCATTGACGCAGAATTCCATGATTCAGGTATGAAATTAAACTTATAACCTACAGTACACGAGCACAAAATTATAAATAAAGTTTTCGTCCCCTCAAACTTACCATTTTCTGTCGAAGCGGGCTCGTCTGAATTGATATGCTGTGGTTTGGATTGCTTGCGCCGCGACATGGTAACGTACAACCATCAGGGGCGAATAGTAAGACTATTTAGTCCCTCTCCTTTAGAAATTCTCCAGGTTGGGAGAAATTAGCCCCTCGAGTAGAAATGCGCATGTCAAAGTAATTATTATTATCAATAATGCATTGCGATTTATCATGCTCTTCTGACAGCTGATTGGCTCCGGTCCAAAGTGCTCGCGCATTATTCAAATGAGGCTTCATTGATGAGAAATGTAGAGTCGAGAGAAAGGGGGAGGAGATGTGTGTGAGAGAAAGAGAGAGAGAGAGAGAGGGAGGGAAGAGTGATGCTGGAGAGAACAGAGGGAGGGAAGCAAGTGAGCAGGCGGGGAGAAACAAAAACTGTAATTTTTTTGCAAAACATTATCACAATTTTATTATTACAATTTTTTCCTATACAACTGTTTTATGGATCTTGATATCTGAATGATAATATTATATTGTATTATTATTATTTTACATATTTTATCTAGGTATTTGTGTGTCTCACTTTATGAATTTATACCTTATTATATATTTTAAATGTATTATTAAATCATGAAATGTCTAATTGTATTTTCAGTTTTTACAATAATGTGTCGTATATTTTGAATAAAATGAAAAACTTGTCCTTTTATACTTGGTAATGCATGAAGATGTTCTTCATTCTAAATGATGCAAACATAAAATGTATTTTTCAGTGTACATAAAGACAAATCTGTGCGTGAGTTTTTAATGGAAACATTTATATACGTACTACAGACTTTAGACTTTATATATACGTATATATGTTGTATTATGTTTCAGTTATTTTTTTTTATGATTGTAATGGTTGCTATGACCAAAATATCTTAATGCACAATGTACCAAAAGCTTCAATATTTTTTTTTTTATGATGTCACTTTCTGGATGCTGCTGGTTCTTCATTCTAAATGATGCAAACATAAAATGTATTTTTCAGTGTACATAAAGACAAATCTGTGCGTGCTTCTTCACTCTGTGATTTAAATATGGAAATTGCAACTGACATTAACCCATCACATTAAACACAAAGACCTGCCTGTCACATTGTACTCATATGTGTAATGTATGAATGAAGAGCAGACAAGTAAATATATGCAAATGTTAAAGGAGAAATGAGGAAAAAAACTGCAGTTGTTTAGTTCATTCAAATGCAGTATGTAAAGCAATTGTCTTACCTTATTTCAAAACACATGGATATATGGCTATATTAGTTAAGAAAGAATATTTTGCATTTGCATGTGTGTGTGTGTGTGTATATATTTATTAAAATATATATATATATATATTGCCATAGAAGAACCATATATATATATATATATATATATAGCCTATTGTATTGTTTTCAGTTATTCACAAATT